GAAACTCGAAACTCGAATCCAAATGGGAGCAGAAAAAATCCAGGGAAAATCAATGTCGTCCGAATTGAAGTGAGCTTAATTTCCTTATTTTTGGATTGGAGTAAATATCTTTCAAAATCGAGCAGATTCTCCAGAATTCTCTTATACGAAACAAAAGTGTGAAGAGTAGACTCCGTAAGAAGCTGCCACTCTTCAAGCGATCTTGTTCGCGAGAAAGTTTTGCGGCCGAAATCTGGGCCCTGGAAGAATTCACCTTTGTAAAAGCTGTTCACGAAGACTAATGATTCAAGTTCCAATGGTAATAATTGATAAAAAAAAACTTCCCAGTTTTCATAGGGAGTTTTCTGTCAACACCAACTCTACAACATCGGATACATATTAAATCTAAGCTCCGAGTGGAAATTCCCCCATCTACACAAATCACGCACCTGTTTCCATACAAATTCGAACTCGAGCTATTAATAACTGCAACAATGTTCAAAAAATACCATAGCAAGACTATGTAACACAAAGTAAGACTGATTGACATTTATTCTGGTAAGAGGGGAGGTAGTCAAAAGGAGAGGAGAATCACTTATAAGACATTCACTCCCATATCGACATGCGAAGCTAATATCTTTGCTAATGATTGATATTTGTTGCAAAAGAACAGGCGAATGAATACTTGAAATAGCATCACACACAAACACCCACACCCATAGATATAGACATACGCTTGCAAAGAAACACACACTCCAAACATTCATCCACTGTTCTGGCAGGGAATTCAGGTAATTTGTATGCGGCGCTTAGAAAACAAAGCTGTAATTGATTATTGATAGACATGGCAGGCATATCTGAAGACAGACAGACAGACGGACGATGATAGTCAGATAAAATGTTATTTATAGACAGAAATATGGTTATATATCTGTGTGTGCCGTTGTTTTTGGTTTCGTACGATTCTTTGTTGTTTTGCTCCGGCAAAGACTTTAATTGTTTGCATTTCTATGCCGCCGTTCATTATTTGAGCGAAATATTTATTAACTGACAACAACTAAATTGCCAAGTCAAGTCAAAGCTAAGGAGCGAACCAAGCTACCAGCACGCCAGCAAGCCAGCCAACCAAACAGCCAGTCAGCCAGCCAGAGAACCAAGTCAAGTCAATCTAATGTTTCAATAGAAATGACCTTCAATGTGACAAATCTTGCTGGAATTCCATGCATACCAAATGAGACACCACCACCACCACCACCATCAGAACTACACACAAAGTACGCAGCCAAGTACTTGCGATTTTTCGTTTTCTAAAGTGAAGCTTGCCTGTCTGAGTTTGTGGGTAATGACAATTATAAATAATTATTTTTTGAAGAAAATAACTATTAGAACAACAATAAAAATGTTGTTAAAAATACAATGTTATTATATGGCAAAGGAAATTTTTCAAGACTAATAAAGTTCCTAGAGGTATGGAGCTTAGAAAATATCTATAGACAAGCTTTTAGACGAGCTTTGGACGAGCTGAAGACCGTCCTTATAGAGAGATGAAGGAAGTATTTTTAGACGAGTGAGTGGAGTGAGTATTTTTAAATCAGCTAGAGTTCGTCTTTAGAGACGAGCTAGTTTTTTAGATTGCCGTCTTTATGAACGAGCTGAAGCCCTTCGTTATGGACGAGCTGTAAGCGTCCTTATAGACGAGCAGGAGATAGTCTTAATATATGAGTTGCAGGTCGTATTTGCGGGGTGAGATGAAAAAACTGCAACCAAATTCAGACTGCTGTCATTGCTAAGTCACTCGTCCGACAGCTGTTAAAATTATTCCAGTGACAGCTCATTATATTGTTTACAAGCGTACAAAAGCATTTTGTTGAGAATTTTCCAGAAAAAAGTTATTCGAGATGGAATTCAAGCGTGTTAGTGTGATTTTTTTATATTTGGCTGGAAAACCACAAGTGGTTATCGTTAGAGCACACCAGCATTTAAATGTGAATAAATCTTTTGTGTCGTTACCGTGGTACTGGTAGTGTAGCCCGACGTCAAGGAAGTGGACGTAAGAAAACGGCAACATTAGCAGAAATGGTTCGAAAAATAAAGAAGCGACTTGATCGAAACCCGCGTCGCAGTGGCCGAAAAATAACTGGTGAGCTGAACATATGACAATATTCCATTCGGCAAATATTGAAAAATGAGCTCGGGGTAAAGCCATTGAAATTCCAAAAACTGCAAGAACTTACACTGCAACTTAAAAGAGTTAAAGAGTCGCTTCGCTTGGCCGAAAGTGATGAAATGTCGAATTTAGTTTTCTCCGATGAGAAAGCATCCATTATCCAGCAGTTTGTAAACAAGCAAAATGATCGTGTTTACTTGCCAAAGAGGTTGGCTGAAAATGTGCACCTTCGGTTGGCCACCAGAGCTCAAGCGCCGGCCATGGTGTGGTCCGCCATAACAGCCGATGGTCGCTCTCCGCTCGTATTAATCGACCGTGGTATCAGAATAAATGCCTAATATTATCGCGAAAATATTCTGGAGGGTATATTAAAGCCTTGGGCACGCAAATACTGTAGGTGCAGACCTTTGACATTCCAAAAGGACTCAGCACGCGCCACCCAAGAATGGTTACAAAATGAGGTTCCTCGCTTCATTTCCAGTGCACAATGGCCACCAAAATCTCCGGATACCAATCAGTTAGACTATTGTGTCTGCAATATTTTCGAAAGCAAGGTTAGCACTAAAAAATACAAAAGTTTCGATCATCTCAAGCAAGCGCTTCGCCGGGAATGGGCCAAAATACTGCAGAGCAACATTCGGGCAGCGTGTGATGGTTTCATTGGCTGTTTGAAAGCCATAATTCGTGTCAAAGATGACCAATTCGAACAAATCTAAACTAATTATAAAATTTGATGCTATTTCCGACATTTTTTGCTTTCATTCAATAAAATTAAAAAAAAATGTAAAAATTATGACATTTGATTTTGTTGCATTTTTTTATCTCACCCTGTAGTTGTTCTAAAGAAATGTACTCCTTTCTTTTATGTGGTAGTGCAAGATACTTCTGTTTGAAAAAAGTGTGAGTCAAAATACACGCAATAGAGAGAGAGAGAGAGAGAGTTTACTGTAATGGTAAAATCGGGTGGAAAAAAATTATCCGGGACTTTTAGTGGTTACAAAAAATACTTGATGAAAAGTTCAAATCTATACAGAAGACCTATCGACTTCATAGAAGTATAAAGGTATTAGTAATACTTTTGGACTAATAATCAGAAATGTACCATTAGTGGAAATTATGTTTGGTTTAGAACAGTATATGGGCTCTTTCCGATTTAAAATAGCTTTTAAAATATTTTTGTGGCTACAGGAGTACAAACGAGCCTCTCAACTCCGAGGAATACCGAAAAACTATATGAAAATAAGTGGCATGTATTTCGGCTGAACTTAAGATCTACTTTACTACTTCTTTATAAGAATTCTTAAAAATTTACAACATAAAACGCAACAGAACTCACCGAGTCCCCAAAAAATGTTTGTGAGAGAAATGCCTAAAAAATTGAGCACCATAAACATGTGGCTCCCAAAATTTAGGCTGAATGAATTTTATGTTAAAAAGTTGGGGCACAGAGAGATAGAGAACCCTACTATAGCAAGAGAGTGCTCCCCCTTAACAACTAACATATCAACACAGAACAGACAAATAGCGGCGACTGCGGAATGCTGTGCTAAAGTGGCGATGACGTTCGTCAGCCGGTCGATCGACCGGTTAGACGAACGTTCGTTCATTGCGCTTGTTAGTTAGCTGGCTGGCTTGCTTGCTTGCTAGCTGACTGGCTCACTTGTTTGTTTATTTATTCAATGTTGTCGTCGTTTATCTTACGAACGTTTTTTTTTTTGTCGGCGTCAGCGCCACACAATAAACATGCACACAAACTCACCAACACGCTCGCTCACTCTTTCTCACTCAATATAGTATTTATGTATGGGGTGGGGTGGCGAGAAGAGCGGAGAGAGCATCACCCATCACTCCCCACACAAATGGAATCACCGTGGAACGGGTAAAAGGCAAATACAACAAACTTGGGGGGCTAGTAGTCATGTTTTCTTAGGCGCCAGGTTGCCGCGTCAAGTCGTCACTTTCTACAATATATTGATGATATTTTTTTCTTCTTCTTTTTTTTTTTTGCTTTTGGTTTTTGTTTAACTTTTCAGCGAGATTGTGAGTGTGCGATTTTTATAAAATTATTATTGTTGCCGCTGCTGATATTTTGTTTTTGTTGTTGTTTTTACCATTTCAACCAAAAATATTATAGTACAAAAAGGAGAAAAAAAGATGAAATGCCATAACGCTCATACGATTGCAGAAGTGAGCCAAGACATTGATGTTAAGTGCTACGACTGATTGACTGACGGTCTGGCTAGCTGGGCTCTATGAATGTAATTGCATCGTGCGAACATTGAGTATCAGAAGCTGTTGTGGGGCCGTAGCATATGTCTCTTGTCTCTTAAAAAGAAAGAGATGCGATCTGCTTATAATTTAACACTTGTATTTGAATACAAATGCCGAAATCGTTTTTACTTTGGGAATGCTGCTTTCAGTATCTATGCATTAACTCATCAACAAATTTATTGAAAATAAACTATGTCTGCTGAAGCTGGGATGGATCAACCATTTTTCTAATATTGAATGCCTAAGAAAAATAGGATTTATTATATGCCCTTATACAATGAAAATGGATATTTTATTTTTTTTTATAATTCACGAGTTTTAAGATTCATTTCAGACATGTCTGAGCGAAATCTAAAGGAAACCGGAACCTCTCTTATATAAGAAAGATTTTTTTAGCATTCATAGTTTTGTGGCGCCATTGTTTTGAATTTTATCCCCATAGAAATTTTTCAACCTTTCTCATTATATACGACTATATTTACACTATATGATGCATCTTTCTGAAATATTGAAAATAATTGTGAAATCTACCTTATGTTTGGGAAACTGATCTAATATTTAATTGCTTCTAGTTTAAACTTACCTTCACCGTCAGTGGTAACCGATTCTGTCATTCGAACATAAAAATCGGTGTTGGGTTTTTGTATACTGGAAACGCCGTCGGCATCTGAACTTCCGAAAGATGTGGAGTTGCCGTAGTTTTGAAAAGATAGTCCTAAAAGAAAATAGACAAAAGAAATATGGAGATGAGTAAGGTAAAAAAAAGAAGTTACTCATAGAGTAACTTAGAAACCCTAATTAAATGATTTTCTGATTGTGAGAACGAGAAATTCAAAGAAGAAACAATTCCGATAAATAATCTAAAAAAATACAAAATACCGAATATATATATGGGGGCTATACGAAGACGTAGACCTGCATAGACAATTTTCTGTCATAGGCTTTAGCATCCATTACGAACTTTAAATACCAAATTTCATACAATTCTGGTGAATAATGTCGCTTAAATCACCAAAATACCGAATATCGGGAGGTACCGTTATATGGGAGCTATACCAAAACGTGGACCTACATCACCTATTTTCAATACCAAAAGTCCTACAGACATAATACACATTTGAGTAAAATTTTATCAACCTATTTTATTTCATTCGAAGCTAGAGCGATTTCCACAGACGGATAAACGGACAAACATCGCTAAATCGACATAAAATTTTATGTTGATCAAGAATATATTCACCATACTATGGCGGAGGGTATAAGAAAGAATTGGTTCGAGAAGTAAAGAAGCGACTTGATGGAAGCCCGCGTCTCAGTGGCCGAAAAATGGCTCGTGAGCTGAACATATCGCAATGTTCCATTCGCCAAATGTTGAAAAATGAGCTCGAGGTAATGCCATTAAAATTCCAAAAAGTGCAACAGAAAGAAAATTGTCTCAAAAGAGCTATAGAAATGCTTCGCTTGGCCGAAAGTGGTGAACTGAACAAACAAAATGATCGTTTTTGCTTGCCAAAGAGGTCAGCTGAAAATGTGCACCTCCGGTTGGCCACCTCAACGTCTGAACTCAAGCACCGGTCATGGTGATGGTGTGAGCCGCCATAACAGCCGATGATCGCTCTCCTCTCGAATTAATCGACCGTGGTATTAGAATAAATGCCGAATATTATCGCGAAAATATTCTGGAGGGTGTATTAAAGCCTTGGACACGCAAACATTTTGCCCGCAGACCTTGGAAATTTCAACAGGACTCAGCACCATCGCACTCAGCACGCACCACCCAAGAATGTTTACAAAATGAGGTTCCTCGCTTGATTTCCAGCGCACAATGGCCCCCAAAATTTCCGGATACCAATCCGTTGGACTATTGTGTCTGGAGTATTTTGGAAAGCAAGGTTAGCACTAAAAAATACCAAAGTCTCGATCTCCTCAAGCAAGCGTTTCGCCGGAAATGAGCCAAAATACAGCAGAGCAACATTCGGGCAGCGTGTGACGGTTTAATTGGCCGTTTGAAGGCCATAATTCGTGCCAAAGATGACCAATTCGAACAAATCTAAACTTATTGTAAAATTTGATGCTATTTCCGACATTATATTAGTTAATTAAAAAATAAATTAAAAATTATGGCCTTTGACTTGCTGCAGTTTTTTATCTCTCCTGTATGTGGTTCAAAGAGTGAGTTGATTTCAGATATGCGTACTGAAATTGTACTAAATGTTACTAAATTTGGTAATGGGTGAAGGGATAAATCTGAAGTATGATATGGAGGCCACGGTTGACATGTAGGTTTGAAAGATTTAGGTAGATTTGGGAATGCGTACTTGTTCGAAAAATGAGTGAATGGATAAAGCTTGAATCTTGTAATTTAAATGTAAGGATTTAGATATGGTGGTGGGTATTTTTTATTTTGAATTTCAGTTTCAAATTGCACTTCCTATAGCTAGCCAAATGAACGCAAGCAAAATACGAATAAAAAAACTTAATTTTGATTTTTTCAAAATAATTTCTCTTACGGAAACGACATGAATTCCATGCCACTCATTTCAATTCTATTAAATTTTCCATTATTTATTTTCATTTTGAAATTCCTTGGCGAATACAAAAACGAAAAAAAAAAACACACACACACAGTGGGTGCCGCACGCGTGCTTTAGAGAAATACGAATTTATAAACAATTCAGATTTGCCTTGATTTGTTGGTCACTATCACTAATGAATGACAGCACATGCGGACGAGGTGGCCGACAGTCGGTCGGCAACATTGCAAAGGAAAAAATTCCAATTGCAATTAACTCAAAAAAAAAAGTGGAAAGAAAATAAATATCGTGGCTGTTCTCATGGCTTTGTCGGTGGGTGATTATCGTCGTCGCCGGGCCACAAACAGCAGTCACGGCAACAGAGCATTTCGAAAGGAAATGTGCAGTTTGCGTGTAAATCAAGGAAGAAAGTCAGAACGGAACCAGTGACGTTGGTCATCAATGGTTATGTGGGGGGCTAGGAGCATGGGAAGGGCTGGCTGGTAAAATAAATTACAGTTACATAGTATGGTATGGTGTGGTGTGTGAAGGACATGCAAAAGTGCAACAACAAATATGTGGCGGCACACACCCATTCCTCCCTTCAGAATATTTTGCCCACTTCAAGGAAGACATAACACATTTTTTTTTGCTTTATTTACACAAACGGCGAAAAGCAAACAAGAAGCAAAGAAAAAAATATTAAGAAAATATAAAAGCGGCGCCAACAAACCCAAATGTTTATTTGCTCCATCAAAATATACGTCGGTCGTGGCGGGTTGTGTTGCAAAAAAACCCAAAACAGCAAAAAAAAAACACACAAGAATTGAAATGCAAAGAATTAGGGCAACAAATAACAGCAACAGCGAGCGTCGATGGCAGCACGGGATAGCAGCCATAGGCGAGGAGGCCCATGGCGGTTATACCCCCACCGGTGGGGGTGGTGGTGGCAGGCAGCCATCGGTCGGCCGCATTATTATTTGTTAGCCTTTAGAAATTATTACGGCGCCACAGTGTTTGCATATTTTTTTTTTTTTTTTTTCAATTTGTTTTTCATTCTTGTCGCTACTTCTCAAAGAAATTAACCAAAAAAAAAAAAGAAATTGTATAAAATAAAATAATAAAAACAAAATAATATTTGCAAATGAACAAAAAACAAAACATACCACCACACACATTGTGTTTACACAAAAGACGAATGGATGGATGGATGGGTCGTTGTGACTTTCAGAGCAAAAAAAAAAAAACTAAAAATAAAATAAAAATAATAAAATTTACGCGTCACACGTAGATAAAGGGGAATGTCTGATGATCATGTTGGTTGTTTTTTTATACCCTACACCACAAGGTGGTCAGGGTATTATGTCTTTGTGAATTTGTTTGTAACAGGCAAAAGGAAACGAGATAGACCCATAGTTCCTTTTGATGATCTGCATAGAATCACATTCTGAGTCGATTTATGCATGTCCGTCCGTCCGTCTCTCCGTCTGTCCATGTTTTTTGTAAACAAAGTACAGTTCGCAATTATTGATGAAATTTTGCACAAATCATTTGTTTGACCCAAGGACGAACTCTATTGAAATTGGAGATAATCGGTCAAAATTTAGATATAGCTCCCATATATATCCTCGTCCGATTTGGCTTTTATTGTGCACCAAACGTGTAATATCAGCCCGAATAATATGAAATTTTGCACATACAACCAAATTAGGTCTGAAAATAAGTATGCCAAATTTGATCGAAATCTGTTCAGATATAGCTAAAGCTCCCATATATATTTTTCATCCGATTTGTTATTTTTGTCCTTCGCAGCCGTAATATGCACTCTGTTACAACAATATTTGGGGAAATATATCAAATACAGCCCGGAAATACATGTGCCAAATTTTATCGAGATCGGTTCAGATTTGGATATAGCTCCCATATATAACTTCGTCCGATTTACCTTATATTGTGCACCAAACGTCTAATATTTGTCCAAATGGGATGGAATTTGGCACTTAGGACCGAATTTAGTCTTGAAGCTAGTATGTCAAATTTGGATTTGAAGATCGGTTCAGATATAGCTATAGCTCCCATATATACTGTTCATCCGATTTGTTATAGTTGTTACCCACAGCCGTAATATGCACTCCGTAACAACGATATTCAGGAAAATACATCAAATACATCTCAGAAATATCTTTGCGAAATTTTATGGAGATCGGTTCCGATTTGGATATAACTCCCATATATATCTTTATCCGATTTCAAATTAATTGTGCACCAAATGGGCAATACAAGTCCAAATTTAAAAGATACAAATGGTTCGGCATATTTAGTCCTTTGAACTTTAAATTATAATTATAATCATAGCGTGTATGATTGAATTCTCCCATAAAAACTTTTAATTTAATATGGTGGTGTAGGGTATCATAAAGTCGGCCTGGTCCGACTTTAAGGCTTTCTTTACTGGTTTTTCGATTGATTTTTGGCGAAATTTTAACTCAAAATTGTAATTTATTTATAGCAAGTGTAGACAGGTAAATAATCCAGAAAAAAATTGAAGCTATATGAACCGAATAATCCAACCTTCGTGGATGAGGTACCAGAAGGAGTGAACCGACCGATATCCCATCTTTACACCAAGCCTGGGGTTAATAAAAACATTGCGGTGTGTGAAATGTGAAGAGAATCGGTTGCTTATTTCGGAATTTATAATCGTTTTGGGTATTCACAACTTTGACCCTTTATGGAGGAAGTACCAGAAGAAATTGTCCGATCTCCACCATCTTTATAACAGAACTTGTATTAATGGAAATATTGAGATGTGCCAAGCCTGAATGGAATTAGATTTTTATTTTTTATTGATATTCCAAATTTTGACCCTTTGTGGGCAACCAACTTCAAACTGCTGGCATTTCCAAGCCACTCGTCCGACAGCTGTTTAAATTATTCCAGTGACAGCTCATTATATTATTTACAAGCACAAAAGCATATTGGTGAGAATTTTCCACAAAAAAAAGTTATTCGTGATGGAATTCAAGCGTGATGTGATTTCTTTACATTTGGCTGGAAAACCAAAGTGGCTATCGTTAGAGCACTTCAGCATTTAAATGTGAATAAATCTTTTGTGTCTAGTACCATCGCTCGTTGACGTGATACTGGTAGCGCAGCCCGACGTCAAGGAAGTGGACGGAAGAAAACAGCAACATCAGCGCAAAATGGTTCGAAAAGTAAAGAAACGACTTAATCGAAACCCACGTTGCAGTGGCCGAAAAATGGATCGGGAGCTGAACATGTCACAATATTCCATTCGGCAAATATTGGAAATTTAGTTTAGGGTAAAGCCATTGAAATTCCAACCCGCGCAAGAACTTACATCGCAACAGAAAGAAGATAGACTCAAAAGAGCTAAAGAGTTGCTTCGCTTGGCCGAAAGTGGTGAACTGCCGAATTTGGTTTTCTCCGATGAGAAAACATTCGTTGTCCAGCAGTTTGTAAACAAACAAAATGAGGTTAGCTGAAAATCTGCACCTTCGGTTGGCCACCAGAACTCAAGCGCCGGCCATGGTGATGGTGTGGGCCCCATAACAGCCGATGGTCGCTCTCCGCTCGTATTAACCATCAGAATAAATTCCGAATATTATCGCGAAAATATTCTAGAGAGTTAAAGCCTTGGGCACCCAAAAATTTTGGCTGCAGACCTTGGACATTCCAACAGGACTCAACACCATCGCACTCAGCACGCGCCACCCAAGAATGGTTAAAAAATGAGGTTCCTTGCTTCATTTCCAGCACACAATGGCCACCAAAATCTCCGGATACCAATCCGTTGGACTATTGTGTCTGGATTATTTTGGAAAGCAAGGTTGGCACTAAAAAATACCAAAGTGTTGATCATCTCAACCAAGCGCTTCGCCGGGAATGGGCCAAAATACCGCAGAGCAACATTCGGGCAGCGTGTGACGGTTTCATTGACCATAATTCGTGCCAAAGGTGACCAATTCGAACAAATCTAAACTTATTCTAAAATTTGATGGTATGGGTAAGGAAACCCATCTCACACTGCATATCCTGTATAGCCATATGGCTGAGGGTGTAAACAGTACGTTTGCGTTGCTTTCTCTCAAGTGTTCTCTTCAGTTCGTTTTTGTAACCCAAATAAACGGAAAACTACATTTTTCTTCTTCTATTTTTTTTGAATTAGTTTTATTTTCAGGTATATATTTGATTAATATCTGTTGTCAAATTATTGAAAGAAAAAATAAGAAAACATAGGAAATTCCCTTTTTGAAAGGTTTAAGAGAAATAGGATTTGTTTCTCCCACACTGGATTTGAGGCAAGCAAAATTAAAAACAAGTAAGCAAAAGCTACAGTCGAGCGGGGCCGACCGTTAAATACCCTACAACACTATAATAAACCATACAGTTTATTAGGCGAAATACTCGACAGAATTCCATAAGATATTGTGACAAATAATAAAATAAAACCATCAAGTTTCGTTCTCTAATTTTCGAATAATAGCAACTTAAACTAATTTGCTCATTTCCAATTTAGATGTTGCACGTAAATGGTCTTCCTAGATCTGGAACCAATATTTCCCAAAGACCTACAATCTCTCAGAAGTGGCAAAAGATTAACATTTATTATTGGTTTTTGACTGAAACACATCTATATGAGATACATTTGACTACATTCTTCAACGAAATCAGCGTTAACGAAATAGTCAGAAGTGCGTCTTTCCTGTATTTTTGAATTCTCCAAAAAGTCACTGGAATGGACATTTTCGTATTTTGTCTACAAAAGTTGGCAAACTATTTCACACATTGGATGGCCATCCAAAACTGCTTGGCTTTTTCAATGTCCGGTAACCCCCATTCTAATGTGCGTGAGGATCGGGCGATAATTACGACCTGATGACAATTTGGCAGTTTTTTGGTCCATTTCAACCCCTAAATATATAGCGATCATCTCCAAAAAGAGTAGGCATTTATTCTGACCCTCATCTTATCCCCATAAAAAATTTCGTAAGGATCGGGCCATAAATGCGATCTGTATATGATATCCTGATATCCTAACTACTTAGTTTTGTTACCTGAAAAAATATTACCAAATGTTTAATTCAAAATGAAAATATGCCAAAAATATGACAAAATTGAAAAAATATGAGAAAATTTTACAAAATCAATATTTTCATCTTTAGAGAGATATTTTTATTTTTATTAATGAGAACTGTTGAAATCAGTTCAGCCGTTCTCGACATATAAGAGATCTTTCAAGCACATCTTCTTTGATAGACATATATATCGCATCTATTTTACTATATATCCGATTTGTTGGATGTTAAGATCAATGTTAAGGTCAGAAGTAACCTTGTGATGGCTTTGTGATTTCGCCGGGATTTAAAATATTCGCGGTTTAATGAAAAATTTTGAATTTTTTCAACACAAAAGATATGGTCTATTTTACCCGCTAAATATTATCCGATGACTACCCAAATTGGTAGGCTTCTTCCCCGCCCTAAACTCTAGCTACATGCGAAATTCCGCGTCGATTGGTCTATAATTGCGACCTGTATAGCTACTGCAAAATCCGACATTTTTTCAGTATTTGGTCCATTTCAACCCCTAAACATTTGGCGATCATCTCCAAAAGAAATAGGCTTCTATTCTGACCCTAACCCCACCTTCGTGCAAAATTTCGTAAGGATCGGGCCATAATTGCGACCTGTAGCGTGCTTACAAATTAACATGGACAGACGGATGGACGGACATACATAGCTAGATTGACTCAGCTCGGCGAGCTAGGAAGATCCATATATACTTTCCTATATGGGAAACCAATATTTCGAGGTGTTACATAAATTCTGGCCCAATCAAACTTATAATACCCCCAACACATAGTGTTGTAGGGTATAAATAGTGTACTTAGAGAAAACTAGTTATCTAATTTTCTTAATGTTGCATATTTTTTGATTTTTTGAATATGAAAGTAGTCTCAAATGGTTTAATAAACTACTCAATAATATATATAAACCAACAAGGAGTAAACCGTGATTTGTGAAGGATTTAAGAGAAATTGACTTCAATTTTAAAGTAGATAAATGTCTGGATTAGAATTACCTTCGTTTCTGTCCATCCTTTGGCTGCGATATGGAGGCGGGGCACTTTCTGGAAAAATACAAGTAAAATGTTTACCATTAGAATGGGTCTCAAAAATAAGTTTAGTTTTAATTCTAAAATATTTTCAAAAAAATTGCATTACCAGGAAATGATTTCATGGGGTACTTGTTGACAGATAAACCAATTTGAAATTTGGCTATTTCCCACGTTTTTATTGTTATTATTATTATTATTATTATTTTTTTTTTTTTTTGGAAAGAAATGTCTATAAAGAAAGTACTTATAAGACAGAAACCAAAATTCAAAAAAAAGCAGGAAATTGCATTTTTATCAATTTATCCCTTTAAATTTTTTATTTCTCGGTTGAAAATTTAGCGCATTTTTTTTTTTGTTTTTTTTTTTTTTTTTTTTTTTTTTTGAATAAATGTATAGATAATGAACAAATATTTTTAATTTTTTACTTCGATCCGAAAAACCCCACTTATCACACAGTTTCAATTTAATATAAAAATTTCCTAATCAAACTTGATTCTCCAGTGTAATTTGATAGGCGATAAATAATAGAATATCATCAAAAAATATTTGAATTGTTTAACAATATTCAAATTTCATAGGGTTTGAGCGAGTGATCCAAATATCATCGCACACGAATTTCATTCATAACTTTTGGTAGGGTTTTAGTTTTAGTATCAATACACTAAATACAGATATTTTATTGTTATTGGTTTTATTTTTATGATTATTATTATTATCGATATGTCATTTCCTCACAAATTTTGAATTCGATTTGTGGCAAGGCGGTCGCCATTCTGTTAAATTCATTCATAAAATTTCGAATACACGTGGGTCTTAATTTTTATGAATAGAGGAAAGTTGTTTTTTTTTTTTTTTTTTTTTTGTAAATCCGTAACTAGATAAATCGTGTTCGAACCTGTAACACATCTCTCTTTTTTTGGGAATGATATGACACAATAATATTTAGCACCTCACAGATCCACCTTTTTCTTTGGATGCAAATTAACATATTTTGTGGAGATGAATGAATCGATGTAATTCATGAACTGAACAAGGGAGAATTTTGCAATTATGTCAAATGTATGTCACAAAAATTTTCGGGGGGATGAAAGCCTTTATTGTTTATATTTGAAATTTCGAAAAATATTTCGTCCTTCTAATTCGATTTTAATATCGTCCATTATAGGTAGTATGAATATGGTATATTCAGTTTGTCATTCCGTTTGTAACTCATCGAAATAATTATTTTAGACCCAACAAAATACACGGTGGCACAAAAGTAATTCTCCTATCAGAAAATGCTATAAATTTTACGATTGACCCCTAATGTCAGTTCTGTTTTGACATGTTTGTAGTAAACACATAACGAAATACACGTTAATAAACAATATTACGCTACACTGCTCCAGAACGCGGAATATTGGTGATTTTTAATTTGAACAATAATCGGTGCGACGTTTAGCCGCTCGCCTCGTAAAGACTGGTACAACAAAATATGCTGCCAGGCGTGGCAGACCCCGGTGTATACGTTTTGCAGAGAATATTGCTGTTGTAGCGGAGGACGTCAAAAAAATCTTTAAAATACCGAATGTAGCCGTTATATTAGTGTCATAGGCAACATTTCTCATAAGCCATTACAATATTCAAATGTGAAACTTAAAAAAATCGGTGAATAATGTAGCTAAAATCATCAAAGTACCGGATATCAGGAGTACTGTTATATGGGGGCTATACCAAAACGTGGACCTGCACAGACAATTTTCCATCTTAGGCTGTAGTATCCATGACGAACTTTAAATACCAAATTTGAAACAATTCCGGTGAATAATGTCACTAAAATCGTCAAAATACCGAATATCGGGAGGTACCGTTATATGGGAGCTATACGAAGACGTGGACCTGCACAGATAATTTTCCATCTTAGGCTGTAGTATCCATGACGAACTTCAAATAAAATCGTCAAAATACCGAATATCGGGAGGTACCGTTATATGGGGGCTATACGAAGACGTGGACCTGCCCAGACAATTTTCTGTCATAGGCTGTAGTATCCATTACGAACTTCAAATACCAAATTTGAAACAATTCTGGTGAATAATGTCGCTAAAATCATCAAAGTACCGGATATCAGAAGTACTGTTATATAGGGGCTATACGAAGACGTAGCCCTGGACAGATGATTTTCTCTCCTAGACTGTAGTATCTATTACTAACTTCAAATACGAAATTTGAAACAATTCCGGTGAATAATGTCACTAAAATCATCAAAGTACCGGATATCAGGAGTACTGTTATATCGGGTCTATACGAAGACGTGGACCTGCCCAGACAATTTTCTGTCATAGGCTGTAGTATCCATTACGAACTTCAAATACCAAATTTGAAACATTTCCGGAGAATAATGTCGCTAAAATCATCAAAGTACCGGATATCAGGAGTACTGTTATATCGGGTCTATACGAAGACGTAGACCTGGACAGACGAACTTCAAATACCAAATTTGAAAAAATTCCGGAGAATAATGTCACTAAAATCGTCAAAATGCCGAATATCGGGAGGTACCGTTATATGGGGGCTTTACGAAGACGTGGACCTGCCCAGACAATTTTCTGTCATAGGCTGTAGTATCCATTACGAACTTCAAATACCAAATTTGAAACAATTCTGGTGAATAATGTCACTAAAATCGTCAAAATGCCGAATATCGGGAGGTACCGTTATATGGGGGCTATACGAAGACGTGGACTTGCGCAGACGATATTCTGTCCTAGACTGTAGTATCTATTACTAACTTCAAATACGAAATTTGAAACAATTCCGGTGAATAATGTCACTAAAATCGTCAAAATACCGAATATCGGGAGTACTGTTATATCGGGGCTATACGAAGTCGTAGATCTGGGCAGATGATTTTCTGTCTTAGACTGTAGTATCCATTATTGAAACAATTCCGGAGAATAATGCCGCTAAAATCATCAAAATACCGAATATCGGGAGGTACCGCTATATGGGGGCTATACGAAGACGTGGACCTGCACAGACAATTTTTTGTCATAGGATGTAGTTACCATTGCGAACTTCAAATACCAAATTTGAAACATTTCTGATGATTAATGTCGGTTAGATCACCAAATGGATGTACCATAGATATATGGGGGCTATACCAAAGCGTGGACCTGCATGCCCATTTGGACCATTTTCAATACCAAAAGTCCTGCAGACATAATACACATTTGAGTAAAATTTTATCAACTCATTTCATTTCGTTCGGAAGCTAGACTAATTTCCACAGACGGACGGACATTGCTAAATCGACATAGAATTGTATGCTGATCAGGAATATATATACTTTGTGGGGTCTACAATGTATATTTCGAGGTGATACAAACGGAATGACAAACTTAATATATCCTCCGTACTATGGTGGAGGGTATAATAATCATGAGTGATTCCATCTTAGCCGGTACGTATGTAAGCAAAATTTACGCTTCTGGGGCACTGGAAATCCGCGTGTAATACACGAAGAGGAAACATGTAGTTCCAACAGGACGGTGCATCAAATTACTTTTGCGCACCTTGTAAGCCAGACGCCAGACGGAAAGCTAAATTCACTCCCCTATTCGGTATTTTAGCTATATTTTCCAAGGCAGTAATTTAAAATCGATATTTAGAGTTCATAACTGGTTCTAACCCCCTGTAGAGGAATATTGTCAATATAGATTCACGTTTTTCATTAACCCCCATATAATTTTTCCTCCTGACATTCGATACTTTGGCGAGTGTAGATCTGCTTTCATGCTTCTTTGTTCGAAATGTTTATGTTTCCTCTTCTTCTTGGTTTAAGACTGCAGATCTCGGAAATTCGAACTAAAATATTACGAAAAGTTGTGACTTCTAAGTTCTCCTTAACTTAATTTAAAAATAAAAAAACCTTTGGTTGAATCGGAATTTATGAAAACATAGCAACTCATCCGATCAAATAGAGTTATATATTATAAAAACAAATATTTTAGTCTTTGCAGGTATTTATTATATACGTTTTTTTTTTTTGTTTCAAGAATATACATTTTTTACACAACTCATTATCTCTTGATCTGCACATTAACAAAAAATATCTGCATAGTTGTCTATAAAGGTATGTACCACACGTTTTCGGGTTTTTGTGTTTTTTTTTATTTCATTCAAACAAACCTCAAAAAGTCATTAACAAAAATCTATACAAAAATGTTAATCCCTCCGATATTGAATAGCGAGCGAGCAGCAGCCAAAAGCCAAGAGCAACAACAATGGCAATTCTTCTCGAGGCAAACAAATAAAACAAAACCGAAAACCGAAACAAATCTAAGGTGTGGCAACCGACAACGGCTGACTGACATTCTATTTAGAGAACTACAACAACAACAACAGAAAAACACACCGAAATAAAGCTTTTTTTGATTGCAGCAACAACAACAAGAAAAATCCAGGTGACAGCCGCAAACATTTAAGCAAAACATGCCAGAAAAAAAGAACGCTTGAAACAAGACGCTAATAACCAAAATATGGCAGTAGATTATTTTGGTATTTCAAAATACAAAAAAAAACTGCTAAAAATAATAAACTTCTACAATTCCCCCTAAAAACTCGATAGAATTGGTAAATGTTATTGATGATGTCGTTGTTGCTGTTGTTGTTGTTGTTGTATTACTACTATTTATCTCTTACCTGGACCACCAAGTCAAAAATAAATGGAATATTCCATTGAGAAATTTCCTATGAAATGTTAATGGGATAGGAATGTGAAAAATTAAATATCGACAATTTCATGGCAAACGTCCTAAAATAGATTTTTGATATGGGACAATTCAAGAGATAAAACAAGTAAAAAAAAAACAAGCTAAGTTCGGCCAGACCGAAATTTTAATGCATCATTTTGAAGCATCTTGAAAATTTTCAAAAAAACACTTCCGGAAACTACCACTTAAATGAAAATTTAACAATTACGGTGAATAATGTCGCTAAAATCATCAAAATACCGAATATCGGAAGGTGCC